TGTGTGTGTGTGTGTGTGTGTGTGTGTGTGTGTGTCTCTTACCACAAAAGACAGTGGTGCTATTTGGATATCTGGGTATAAACAGACCACTAGCTAAAATATACACTGCATCTTAATATCACCCTACTGCAGTGTAACGTGTTTCCACCATCCACAGAAATTTATTATCAGCGAAACAGTCAAATACAAAGGAAATTTAAAAACCAAATTTAAGAAGAGTAGTAATTTACACCACAGCACAGAACATTAGCCATGCTGGTTACATTTTCATGTGGGTACATAAGCAATCACATCAAGCCTACACATCAAGAATGAAGTGTGTTTTTAAAACCAACAGATGCTATCTATAAACTCAGAGGGCTCAGCACTCTTTCTTCCTCTTGATAAAGGATGATCACAGATTTCCTCAGTACCACCTGAGCACCTACTAAGTGTATGATGGGATATTTGTGAATCACAATCACCTTTCTCTGTAAGAACAGAGCACACATGATGGCAACCAACTGCTTCCCACACTTTAAGGGCCCAGAGGAGCACGCTTCAGGAGAGTCCTCCCCGATCCTACAATGCTGAGGGAGATGTGTCAGTCATCTCTCCAGCCTCCTTAGCACACTGGCTCCAGCCTCTGCTGGCAGCAGAGTGACTTCTGGGCCACAGGAACAACCACCATTAAGGCTGACCGTGAGGAAATCCCTTTCACCAAATCCCAGGCACATCTTGACTCAATCAAATTGATTCAAATGCCCATTCCTGAAACAGCAGCCACAGAATGTGTATAAAGGTCTATTCTTAGCATAGCCAGGCCTGGAGTGGAGGGTGTGGCCAGCATCCTCTGATGCTCATGGATTGTGTGGAGTATGACAGGAATACTGGAATAAAAAGAGAGACAAACATTCTCATATTTAGTGCCAGTGTGCCAAGAATGCTTCTGTGTATTTATGTATGTGCTTACACAGCACAAAAGAAACCTACCCAAATTAAGTCCTGGGAGTTGAACTGCCAAAGCCACAAGGTGAAATGCTCAAGGAAAAGCATGTAGAGAAATAGACAAAGTGAACCAGGGCAAAGAGAATTGGAAAAAGTGAGGAAAGTTTGTTACTTCCCAGAAATAAAGATGTTCAATGTGACTCTCATGTATTTTGAAATCTGAAACAGGATCCTGAAAAAGTATTCAGAATACAAGCAAATTTACCATCCTTTCCTAAAATTTACCAACACAAAAAACAAGTCCACTTATAACCCATCAGATCATAAGCAAAACTAACTTTCTAAGCAAAAAGGTATTATACTAAAATATCTGAATAAAATCAGTTTACCAAAAAGTTTTCCCCTTGATATGCTTTTTTAAAAGTTCTACTTATAAAACATACATATAATACATGATATACATTATTGAAACATACATATATGCTTTAAGCAAGTGGCTAGCAAACTTCATCAGGGGTGTAAAGTTGTATTAGAGACATCCACCTTAATTTATATACTACAGCACTGTCTCACACAGTACCTTTGTAGCACTGACTTATCTACAGTTGACTGCTCTCACACTCTGATGACACAGGTGAGTCAACTTGTGTTTATAAAGCCTACATCTGCTGAGTAACTGGCCCTTGCCAGAAAGTTTGCCAACCTCTGATTTAAGCAATTATTTGCTTTTTAAGATTCAATTCCTGAATAATAAAATACTGGGAAAATTTATTCGTTATTGAATAGTTGGGATTTTAGTAAAGGTTTACAATGCAAATATGCTGTACTTAATACATGTCACAAATATATTAATAAAATTTAAAAAACAATTAGCTCTTGATTCAAAAGAATCAGAAAAACTAACCTCCTCCATGCAAAAAAGAAAGGAAGAAAGAAAAAAATGCATTAAATATAATAAGAAATAATAGTAAAATAATACTCACAATCTTTCAAGAAGACTTAACCCAGAAAATGAGCCATTCTTCAGCTCGGATATTTTATTGTTACTCAGAATCCTAAAAAAATGACAGGAAAATAAGTATGTAAGTTGTCTAGTACACATTATCAATATCAACGTATTTTTGCACAGTTTAAATCTATGAGGAATTATCAGAAATATCAGAATTATTACCCAGAATTTTTGAGATGGCTGAGAAAGAGGCTTCTTTCCCAGAATAACTCAAACATCTTAACTTAAATCACTCTCATCATACTTAACCAAAACCTCAAAGATAAAAAGGAGAAAGTCAGCATGTAATTGCTCTAAGTTCAACAGACTTATGTAAGTTGAACACATTTTAAAACTGAAAACTTACTAGAAAAGTCTTAATAAGTGTTCCATGAAATACTGACTTTGCAAAGAAAAGTATTTTCTCATTATCATTTCAATAAGGCTGAATATACTTGTGATTTAGTAATGTGCAGACCTACGTCCATTTGAGTCAAAATGTGGTTTTCTTCAGCACTCAGAAAATCTGATTGCTGAAAAGAACTGAAAACAAAAACTCATGTTTAAAAGACAGGAGCCTCTGGCCCTGGCAGGACTTTGCTGAGAAAAGACTGTGTACATAATCTTGCTTTCTCTCTAAGCTGTGGAACATTATGCAGCTTCTGCTGCCTAAATAGCTAATAGAGAGTCCACGTATAATATGTAAATGGCCAAAGGTGAATGAAAATGCTGAAAGAGTGGGGATAGCCAGGCAAGGAAAATGGCAAAGACAGCCCAGATTTTACCCAAAAATGGGAGAGCCAGAATTTGAACCCAAGCAATTTCTACCTCAAATGTACTGATCTCCAAAGTGCACCCATGCTGGTAACAAGGCACACCCTGGCATAGGAGGCAACACACTCTTTGTCGTCATGTGACTTTTAGGAGCAGCTTTCACAAGGGACTCAACACAGCAATTCTGTGTATATGCAACAGCAAACGGTACACTCTGGGACTTGGATTCCAGATATTCATTTTTATTTTGTCTTTTAAAAAGACTCCAATTTACTTTTATTTTAAAAATAATTTAAAATAGCCAGCTAACACTAGATTTTCCTTTGATATAAGCAAGATTAAAAAAAAACTACTTGTCAGGAGACTAATATATCAGAGTCTGGGGTAGGATATGTGTGTGTGTGATGAATTCCTAAAGTCAACCTCGTCTGAGTTGGACGCCAGTTTTATCACGTGTGAATTACACTGATGGTAGGCAAATCATGTCAGCTTTGTGTAACAGTTCCCTCAGTCACTAAATGGCAAAGTATGTTACTACATAGTGTCCCCACAGCTGTTACTGAAACAAGGACAAGGCTTCAATCCTTGGAACAAGAAAATATGGTTTCAGAAACATTAAAATTAAAATTAAACAGCAATAATTCTGATTGAAATCCTAACAGGATATTTCACAGAACTAGAGAAAACAATCTAAAAATTCATTTGGAACCAGAAGAGACCTAGAATAGCAAAAGCAATTCTAGGCAACAGGGACATGATAAGAGGTATCACAATCTCCGATTTGAAACTATACTACAAAGCCACTGTTATTAAAAACAGCATGGCACTGGCAAAGAAACAGACCCAAGATTAAGTGGAATAGATTAGAAGATACAGAAGCAACTCCAGACATACTCAGCTACTTCATCTTTGACAAATGAGCCAACCATCCTCACTGGAGGAAAGATAGCATCTTTAATAAATGGTGTTGGAAAAACTGGATTTCAAACTGTCAAAGATTAAAACTAGACCCATATCTTTCACCACGTATTAAACTAAAATCGAAGTGGATTTAAGAGCTAAATATTAAAACAGAAACACTAAACTTGCTGTAAGGTAAGTTAGGTAGAATTCTCAAAGACATTGGCATAAGGCAAGACTTTATGAACAAAACCTCAGTAGCAGAGGAACTAGCAGAAAGAATCAATAACTGGGATCTCATTAAAAATCTTCTGCACTGCAAGAGAAACCACCAACAGAGCTAAGAGACAACCTACAATGTGGGAAAAGATTTTTATCAGCTGTTCCTCAAAGGTCTACTATCCAGAATATATAAAGAACTTTTTTAAAAGATCAGACCTCCCAAACATAAAGATCCAATTCAAAAACTGGCATCTGAAATGAACAGACATTTCTCAAAGAAGTAAAGTAGCAAATAAACACATGGAAAAATTTTCAACATCACTGGTCATTCGAGAAATACAAATGAAAACTACACTGAGATTCTGCCTCACCCCAGAAAGAATGGTTGCTATCAAGAAATCAACCAATAACAAATGCTGAGGGGCTATGGGGAAAAAAGAACACTGCTTCACAGCTGGTGGGAGTGCAGACTGGTGCAACCACTGTGGAAATCAGTATGGAGATACCTCAAAGAACCAGGATCAGAAGTCCCATTTGACCCAGCTATTCCCCTGCTGGGAGTCTTCCCAAAATAATTAAAAGCATCATACCATAGTGACATATGCGCATCCATGTTTATAGCGGCACAATTTGTAATAGCTAAAACTTGGAAACAGCCCAATTGCCCATCAACTGGAGACTGGATAAAGAAGATGTGGCTTTTTTTTTTTTAATAAAATGGAGTACTACACAGTCATAAAGAACAAGAAACTAAAGACATTTATAGCTAAGTAGATACACCTTGAGGCCATACTCTTAAGTAAAATACATAGGACACACATATAAATACCGAATAGTTTATCTGGTGTGAAAAACTACAAGGGTGCATAAGGATCAAAACGCATAATTGATAATGTGAAATAGGAAGAAAAGGTCTAAAGGAGTAGAAATGGGAGGGGTAGAGGAAAGGAAAGAAGGGAAAATTAAAAAAAATATGAGGAAAAAATGGAAACAAAGTAATTGTAAATAGGGAGAGGTGAAGGGAGAGCTGGGGAATGGGGGAAAAATAAGAACCAAGATAGATCATGTAAAGGTACAAGATCCCAATGATGAATGTAACTGTATGGTGTACCTAAAATGTGCCAATAATCTTAATGGAAAAGAAATACAACTGCATTTTCTCCAATCAAAGCCACAAAAGATAAGGTAGTTGGCATGGGCAAAAGCAAACTGGGACTTGCACGTGGTCACCACAGGTCACCTGCTTTGATGCAGGTTTCTCCAGCACTTGGCAGTGCATACACACACTTGGGCCTACGACCCTCGCTATCCCTTGCACACACAGATCCTAAGCCAGCAAACACCAAATCTATCAAAAAGGACATCCAAGTACTTTATTTCAGTAGGATTTATAAGACAGTATAAACCACTGAAAGAGGTCAGAAATCAAGAGTAGTTAAATCACAGCACAGCCAAACAACAAAATTTTACACATTCGTTACAAATGAGTCTTTCAAAGGAAATCTGAGGAAGAAGAAAATGCTTATCATCAATTACAACAAACAGCACAATTGATAACCACCATTTGAAAATGATCTATACAAAGATGAGAGGGGTGGTGAGAGGGGAAACAGATCAAAATGATCACTATACCACAGAGGAGGTATTTATGAATTTCTCTTTTATTCCTTATAATTTTCCGATGACTTTTGAAATACCTGGAATAAGACTCAGCATCAAAATGTCCTAACGACAGATAAAAGAATCTTAATAACCAAATGTTGCTTAAAGTTTAATTAATTTTGCATTATATTACATGTTAGAAATAAAAACTGAAGGAAGGATTAGTTTGTACTTTGCAGTTAAATACTTATTTTACTATTTTTAAATGTTTGTACAGTGCCTGATGCTAGCAACTTAATTGGCACCAAAAGAAGTACCAAGAGCAATCAGGTTCACATTCACAGCCTGGGTTGTTTAATCGAGGACCTGCCAGGATAAATGTCTCTCTGTCTGTCACTTCACTTTTCTAGGCAGACTTTAACTTCATCTTTAAGATAAAATGAAATTAGAGTGATTACCAAGATCCTTTCCAACTTTTAATTTTCTGCTTATTCATATTTAATGAGCAAAGTTGTACAGTGCATGAGAATTTATAACCAATAAACCAAAAACAAGGGAAGAAAAGAAAAACACAAATTTCCAGCTTGGTGGCATTAGGACCCCATTTCTTTCCTTCTCTTTCTTCTTCTTCTTTTTTTTTTTTTTTTTTTTTTTTTTTT